TACCCACCTACCCACCTACCCACCTGTTTCTGACACCAGCCCATCCCCCGTGGTCCTGACTCATCCCTGTACTTCCTGCTTTACCACATGGCTATTTGTGAAGACCTTCAAACATCCAAAAGAAAGCGCCTTATTTCCACCACCCACGAGTTCCTCCCCCTTTCCTGCTCCTCCATTTACCCTAACCAAAAATCTAAGGTTCGCTGACTCCTTTTGTTCTGAGCCACTCACACACCCAATAGAGCGACACTGTCAGATCCGCTTCAAATAGAAACCAAGTTTGGCCCCCTTGCCCACCTCCACTGCTGGTGCCCCAACCCTGGCCACTGACTGACCTCTTCTCAGTAGGAGAGCAGGGTTCCATGTCCACCTGCCTCCGCTTCTGCTTCCTGCAGTTGGTTCTCCCACAATAGCTAATGACATTAATAGAAACGTTAATCAGACCCTGACCCCCCCCACCCTTGGAAGAACGCAGGCTGCCACCCAGCAGCCCCTGCCCCACCGGCTGCTGCGACCTCATCTGCTCCATCTCCTCACCCACCTTACCTGGAGCACCCCTGGCTGTCAGACTAGTCAGGGAGGGTCAGGCCCTCCCAGGGTCGTACACGGGCTCCTCTGCCTGGAGCATCCTTCCTTCACGTCTCCCCATGGCTGCCTCCCTTTCTACGTGCTCAGAAGTGACCCTCCTTCCTGTCCAGCTGGCCAAGAGAAACCCACGCTGCTGAGACAGTCTCTTCTGCCTTAGCTTCTTTTCTGTGATGATTACTGATACCTAAAATACCTATTTGTTTTAGTTGTGTGTCTGCACTGTCTCGTCTTACTACTGCTGTAGTGCCAACACCTAGAACGAAGTCTATTGTGTTGTGGGTATTTGATGCTTACCGAGTATTTACAGAATGAATTAACAAATCAGTGGGCTGTTCCCAAATATAACATACACCTCTAAATATGAGCAGAGAGAGAGTATATATGTAAATATGACACATTTGGAACATTCTATGAGAGGAAGCTTGTTCTTTCAAAGCATGGGTAAAATATTATCCCCAAATGTTAATGGATTTTACTAATTTTTCATGTGTCTGTGAATATAAAATATTAAAATATGCTAGTTTTCCTAATCCTTTTATTCTTTGTATAATACTTGGGACAGAGGTTTCAAGTCAGAGGTTTCATGTCATAATTTGATAGTAGAATTTCAAGTTGATCTTTCACTGGAGATAAATAAGTATTAAGTACTGGTGGTATATTGAGTAAATATAACAGTATTTTGTATAATTTAATGGTTTAATGCATTATACTGATATTTAAAAATACTATATATGTGTAACATATCTTTGTGCTATAATTACAGCATATGTGCAGAGGTACAGATAATTACATACATTTGTACTTGTATGGAATCTGTGATTTTAACAGAGTTTTCAAATACACTTGTAAGCCCCTATGAGGATATATTTATATATATGCAACTATGTAGCCAAGCCATTTTTCTATTTGTAAAGTAAATAAGCTCAGACTTTGTGTTTTCCTACACTGGTATGCTGGCATGTCACAGGATTGAGATTGAGAAAACAGGGTTCTGATCCAGCCTCTGCTGCTAACGAGTGTGGCGCTGAGGGCACCCCGTCTGTCTGCTCGAACATAGGCTCGGGCCGGCATCTTGGTCTGTGACGCTCACTGCTGTATCCCCAGCATCCAGGGAAGGTTGGGCCCGGTATAGATGCTGAACAAGTATTTGTTGCATGAATTCTGCTTCTCCAAAATTAGTTTCCACATCCATAAACATATTCTTTCCAACCCTTGCATTCTGAGTATTAGAGCCCTTACCTTATGAATTTAAATAAGGCAAATTCTGAGAAGGCACTGTTTATTCAGCTTTTACCTGGGCCTTTATAAAATTGTTTTGACCATCAGAGCTCTTTGCATTGAATACTGATTTAACATGACTGGATATCATGTTATACCCAGACAGCGGCTGGATATCAGACCTTGTTTGCCATGTTTGCCACCTTTGGAAAAACTAAAACAACAACTTTAAAATTAAAAATGTATTATTCAAATTCACAAAACCAAGAGTAGAAGAAAGTTCAACAGCCAACCTCTCAAATGATGCTTTTTCAGACTGTAACATTTACGTTTTGGAAGCTATCGATGTTTAAAACCGCTCTAAGAATTTGGGGACGTTCTGTAGATCTACCCTTCTTTAAGAAAACTTGATAACCCGATATCGAGATGCAAATAAATCGATAGAGACTCCTCACTTTTAAATTTTTTCTTTTAATTTGTTGAGCAAATGTGTAATGAACGACAACCGTGTGAAACGTGTGTTAGGCAAGAGAAATCAGGTCGCGACAGCAGCGTCACGTGGCCTGCCAGGTGGACGCACAGCCCTGGCATCCCCGGCAGCAGAGCCGCCACCTGCCGGAGTCCGCGTCCGCCTCGGGGAGACCGCCGAGCAGACGGGGCACCTGCGCGCTGCTGGCGAGCCCTCGGCCGGCCGGCCTCCCACCGCGGCCCCGGGGCCACGCCGGCTGCTTGCCTGTACCGCTCGGGCGGCGGCCTCACCCCCTCCATTCTGATGTTTAATGAGACCCCAACCCCTTTTTAATAACACCGTTGCTACCCTGCCCCAGTCCCCCTCCATGCCCCTTATCCTGCCTAAATCTTCTCTGTAGCCCTTACCGCCAGGCATAGGGTGTATTTGTTTATTTGTTTGTTGCCGCCCTGACATCGCACACGCTAGAATGTAAGCTCCGCGGAGCAGGACTTGGTCCCTCGCCGCCGCGTCCCCAGCACGTGGGACAGCGCGCGGGGCGCCCGAGGTGCTGGGCGGTGCTGGCCGGCCGGGTGGGTGCCGAGGGGGGAGGCCCGGTGACCTGGGTGAATGGTCCTCTGACCTGAACTTCCCTGCTCAGCCTCTTCATTTTGTCTCCTCCAGTTTCACCCTTAGATTTAAAGTCTGCCCCCGTTTTTCTAGCTGTAATCCTCACCATTTTCAGTGAGAATTTGGTGCTCTCCCCTGGCTCTTGGCCGCATGCTGCTCTGAGTAAACTGCCACAGCTCTGCTCGGCCCTGATAGTACAGCCTTGTATGTGCGTGAAACTGCTCTACCGCAGTGATTCATAAAGAATCTGCACCCAAGAAGGAGGCGCCGTGTATAAACAAGTACCAAACTGAACTCGCAGCATGCAGAACGGTCATGCATGAAGCCCCTGCTGTCAGGGGGTGTACAGACGCTGCAGTGGCGAGTCCAGGGGAGCAAAGAGCGGGAGGGCATTTCTGAGCCTTAGCTAGGAAAACAGGTACATCCCTATGAATGTCGGCAGGAGTGTAAACTGCCATAATGTTTCTGAAGGGCAATTTACAAATAGCTATGAGATTACAGAGTCTACCCTTTCCGTAGCATTTCAACTTCTAGGTTTGTTCTATGAAAACTCCTACAACTGGACACATCCCAAATGTTCACCATAAGGAGATGGTTTAATTACCAAAACACATAGCCATTCAGTGGAACAGTGCAATGATTACAAAGAATAAATGTAGGCAGATTTATATTATAACTGCATTAAATGGAATGAGAAAAATTGCACATTGGTATGTGTGATGTGATCCCGTTAGCGAGTCTGTGCCACCGTCTGGACACTCTGGGTAACAAACACTGAGCAATACCCACAGCGTCCCTCCCCTCGTGGGAGTTACATTCTAGCTGGGGGAGCAGGCGGACGGACGGAGGGTTAATGCCCCCCGGGGCAGAGCTCTGAGAAAAGCAGGGTGAGGAGAGGTGATGAGGGTCGGGGGAAGCCTCCTGGGTGACCCGGGAGCGGAGGCCTGAATAAGGCGAGGGAGCGAGGCGAGAGGATCAGAAGACGGGAAGGGAAACAGACCCTGGAGCGGCCGGCCTAGGGTGCTGGAGAAAATGGGAGGAAGACAGCCCCCCGGAGATGAGGGGTGGAGAGTGGGGTCTGAGAGGTAGCTGGGCCAGGTCGTTTGGTGTCTCACGGGCCATGGTAACAACTTTGATTTTCCTTTTAATTTTGATGGAAACCATCACATCTTGAGCACGGGAGTGACGTGTCTAGATTTATATTTTTAAGGAATCACCGTGGCTATTAGGTAGAGACTGTTCATCAAGGCATCCATATAGTATATAGCCAATTACATTTTCGTTAGACAGTTTACAAAAGAGAGACAGTGACCAAAATGAGAGGAGAACATGTAGCCTTTCATGTGGTTCATTTAGGACTGCTTTAGGCACCTGCTTCACAGAGGTTTTATGACAATTAAGAAGTATTCACAGTGCAAAAAGACACTCACTCAAACCTGCAGGTCGGGAGTTATGCACCTGGTCATGAGGCCACAGGTAGCCGTGTAGTCCTGGAACTAGGACATGCCTTCTCACCTGCACAGGTAACCTGCACGCCATCTCACGTGAGGCTGTGCACCCTGAAGTGTGGAATCAGTAGCAAAACCCACTGTTTCCTCTTACGAGGATCGCTGACACGGGCAGTGCCATGAGGTGGTATTCTCCCGCTGGGTTCCAAGGGCCTCTTCCTCTTCCGAGGACCGGGCCGTTCGCCGAGGTCTGTCCCCACACATCGCGAGCATCCAGACAAACGGACGCCTGTCCGAGGGTCCGGCCAAAGCCAGTTCCCCACCGCAGCCGACCCCGTCAGCAGCAGCAGCGCAGCGGCTCCGTTTGGTTCCTTGAGGCCCAGGCGGCGTCTAGAGGGGGGTCAGCGGTCCGCATTCTGTCGCTGCTCTTCTCAGCCAAGGCCTGTTTGGGCAAAGAGGTTTAATAATAAGATTATTACACTATGATGTATAATAGGATTTGTATAATGAGATTTTACTAAGACTTATTAAATTTGGAGTGAGATTACACTACTTTTCTGAGTACACTTTGCATTATATCCATAATTGACTCTTGCGTTTGCAGAATCAGTAGATCGGGGGAAACTGTCTAAACAAAACTTAGAGTTTCTTTTGCTCTCTCCTGGCAGAGTCGGGCCACAAGAAGTTAAAAAGCACCATACAGCGGAGCACGGAGACGGGCATGGCGGCCGAGATGCGGAAGATGGTGAGGCAGCCCAGCCGGGAGTCCACGGACGGGAGCATCAACAGCTACAGCTCGGAGGGCAAGTGAGTGTCAGCAGCCTGCTGCACGGGCGCCTCGTCAGGGGCACGGGGACAGAGCCTCCCCCAGAAGTCTCTGGGCCTGGCTCACTAGTATTTCACCACCAGCTCAGCCGTCCGTTCCAAAGCAGCCTGACTTCTTAGGGTACAGACACGGGGACCCACCGGGTCACTCAGACCTTTCCAAGGGGTGAAGAAATGCTGGGTTAACACATAAACTGATTTCTGTCATCGAGAAAAACTCAGGATACGCCCCTACTGTATGTTTATTGTAGAAATGCCACAGTGAGTGGATTCTTCCAGATGGAAAAAGAAACATTTGGTCCAGTCACCGAAATCTCAATTAAAATTCAGATGTGAGAGCCTAATGTCACATATAAATTCTTTTCTCCAAACCGTTTTGAGCTCTAAGTTGTTATAAGTCCAACATGCTCATAATAGCAACTTAAATTTTCTTGTACTTAAAACATAACCAACTCATTTTTCCCTTAGGAAAAAAACCCAGGATCTATCCTCTTCATTATTTTATTATTTTAAAGAGTTTTGGTTGATTCTGAAATTAATTAATCTTGAAAAAATATAACTGGATTTTTGTTTTGTTTCCTTGCTTTCCATTTTTACCACATCATACAGATCTGCACAAAGCCTGCATTTTTTTCTATGCTTGAGAAGTTTTCTGGTAAAACTGAGCTTTTACTAAGGTGCTAGATCTTACACATAAGTAATCACTCTTCTTTAGTGGGTTAGCTGGGTATTGCCCATGCACAAATTTTCCATGATTATTCAAATATTTCATTTACCAATTTTAAATTGTATTAAATGTATGATAGTAATATTAATATTTTACCTTATTTTATTTTACTGGCACTTTTCTATTTTGCTCAGAAAGTAAAATAAAATGATTCCAAGTTAACATTCATGATCTACTTTCCCATTCCCAAAAATGGTGAGTCCATTTATTTGATCAAATGATTGGTATGCATGTTTCCAGCAAGATATAGTTAAGAATAAAAATTAACAGACATATTTATGAAAATAACCTTGCTTACATCATACCACTATTTGATGACATATTATAAAGCAATGTGCAAATGAAAGATTGGAGACATTATTTTCTGTTATGAAAATTAGCAAATCAAGTAGTATTTAACCCCACCATGAATAAGCCACTTAACCTCTTTCTTCCCTGGTTCCCTTGATTGTGAGGATATAATATGTGTGAAAACACATGGGAAACAATAAATCCCTATAGAAATCTTTTTTTTCTGTTCTTCAAAAAGTATACTCATTGAAGTCCAACTACGTAAGGAGCACGATTCTTTTTACCCAGGATACATCAATAAATAAGATGAGCAGAGTCACAGCTGAGTGGAGTTTACATCCTATGGAATTCAGGCAGCCATGGTGTAGCAAGAAATAGATTTATTTTAACCAATTCATTTCCATATGAACAAATAAAAGTCTCAGATAGCATAAAAATTAAGTGAATAAATTAAACACTTGTTTGTAAATAAGAAATTATGAGGCATCTTCTAAATTTAGCATTAATGTTACTTAATGTTCATGAGCAAATTTATGCAGAGTTGGTGGTATAAAAATTTGCATCATATATTTTATGTCCACAATATAGCTATGTAGGGATTTGTCTTTGAAAGTGTTCAGAAAACTTAGAATATTAAAACTCTAATGGAGCCCCCTAAATAGAACATTAGCTGTTAAATTGAGAGTTCGGACTTGTTCTCAGTCAATGCTGAGCCTCATACCCTTGGTTCACAGGCCATTCAATGAACCAGCAAGTCAGCTAATTGTCTAAGCAGTATTTATTATTTATAATCAGGATGAGTAGTCAGACGGAAACTAATGAAAAGAATTCTAAAACTAAAGCCTTAATTTTTGTCTTTTTGCTAATAGCCTAATATTTCCTGGAGTGCGACTAGGAGCAGACAGTCAATTCAGTGATTTTCTTGATGGACTGGGACCAGCCCAACTTGTTGGCCGCCAAACCCTCGCCACCCCTGCAATGGGTAAGAGTCATGGTTTGTACAGGAGAAGTGCTGTGATCTTGTGGCCAAGGTCATTTAAAATAACACAGTAGTAGTGCAAGTGAGAAGCTGTGTGTTAGCTAGAGTGTTGCCATTTTCATATGACTAATTTCTAATTTCTAGTACATTTTTCTAACTTGAGACATTATGCAAAATGGATAAAGTTAGTCATGAATTTTTGAATTAATCAGAAACCCCTGTCAAGATAGTATACAATAGATTCAAATGTAGGATAAGGATAGTTGGTGAGACTGTTGAATTATGCAAAAAGAAATACATGAAATTGCCTCCCTACTTCTGAACTTAAAAAAATAATAATTTAGACTCAATTATATTATAAAAGAGAACAGGGAGGTAAAGAAAGACACAGAAAATACTAAAAAAACACTTAAATAAATGTTCCTATATTTGGAGTGGGAAAGAACTTCCAAAGGATCAAACCAAAGCCAGATCATTCAAAAATTTCTACCAGCAAATGCACCCTAAACAAAGTTAAAAGAAGATGACGAATGAAGAGGATTAATACCAGCAATAGACATTTCCCTGAAGGACATGAGTCTTCAGCTTGAAAGGGCCCAGGGAGCCCTCAGCAAAGGCATGAAGACAGGTCACCACCAAAGTGCATCAGCATGGACCATCCCGGCCCTGGAGATCACCAGAAAATCCTACAGGTTGCCTAAGAGGAAAAACAGTTCTATGCAAAACTACCAAAAGTCAGATTCTCACTGGGCTCTTCAGATTCTCAGTGGACTCTTCAAATAATGATCCTCAAAGCCAGAAGACTACTGAGCATTACCTTCAGAAAATTCAAGTAAAAACTGTTTTCCGCACTGGAGTGCACTAGCCAGCCACATCATGGCGCTTGACTGGAAGAAATACATGCTCGTACAGGAAGGGTCTCAAACCATGAACTCAAAAAGACTGTGAACTAAAGAATGGGGAAGATGAGATCCAACAATTAAATAAATGCTTCAACACAGAGAAAAATGGTTAGGATACCCAGGATGTTAGCAGAGGAAAATCTAAAGCACAGGGAGCTTTAAAAGCAATCTGTCCAAACTGTAGCATATCAGAGCTCATAAGGGAAAGTATGTAGACTACCTAATGTGTTTGATTTTATGGGAAGAGGGTAAACAAGCAGAAGAGAGTAAGGTGTTCCTTGGTGATATGTATGTAAAAATGTAAGCAAATGCTTTTTCAAAAGACACTTACTAAGTGTAGGGGAAATGAAGAGCTGTCCAAGAAATGAGAAGTAATCAGAGTGTCCCAGTTCACTCAGCTGTAAACAGTGTTACCTAATCATGATAATATAAATATTAATATTGGGAGTGTGGGATGACAGAAAGTGGCATGTGTATGGTGGGGGTAGGGAGGAAGTGAGAGAGATCAATATCTAAAACTGAAAAAAAAAATTGGGGAATATCATATAAGTACAGTATTTAGAGATGGGGAGCAAATGCCAAACAGTACAAAATTAATCAGTTGAGAATATTGAAAATTTTGAAAGCAGTGACCTTTGGAAGGCAAGAAGTTGAGAAAGAGGATGGGAATCTTTGATACTAGTAATAGGTCTTCATGTAGGTCACTTTGACTCTTTATGTGTAACATAGTATATGACTGAAACATAAAAAAACAAAACAAAAAGCCTTTAGGCACTGAGGTCTACAACAGAATTATAAAATTAATGAAGTCCAGAACCACAAAGCTGGTCAGCTGATTGGCAAAGAAAGAAAATTCATAGATGAGAAAATGAAGATAATTCAACTAGCTAAAAATAACTTAGAAATAATTATATGTAATGTTTTCAGAGACAAAGTATATCAATCAGAAAAAGAGGAACATCTTAGCAAAAATGGGTAAATAACATGAGCAGGCAAGACACAGGAATACACGGTGATAATATTTAGAAATAGTTTAGCCTCCCTAATAATCAAAGAAATGCAAATTATAGCTTTCAGCACCATCAGATTGGCAAAAATCAGGCACAGTGCTAACTCCATGGTTAGGGCTTGAGGGAAGTGGGAAGACAGGAGCTCACACACTAACACAGCCTTCCTGAAGGGCAGTGGCAGTACGCGTGGAATTTCTGGATGTCCATTCCATGAGAGCCAATAATTAAAAAGCTGAGAATTTATGCTCAAAAAATTACTAATATTTATTTGATCAAATGATTGGTATGCATGTTTCCAGCAAGATATAGTTAAGAATAAAAATTAACAGACATATTTATGAAAATAACCTTGCTTACATCTTACCACTATTTGATGACATATTATAAAGCAATGTGCAAATGAAAGATTGGAGACATTATTTTCTGTTATGAAAATTAGCAAATCAAGTAGTATTTAACCCCACCATGAATAAGCCACTTAACCTCTTTCTTCCCTGGTTCCCTTGATTGTGAGGATATAATATGTGTGAAAACACATGGGAAACAATAAATCCCTATAGAAATCTTTTTTTTCTGTTCTTCAAAAAGTATACTCATTGAAGTCCAACTACGTAAGGAGCACGATTCTTTTTACCCAGGATACATCAATAAATAAGATGAGCAGAGTCACAGCTGAGTGGAGTTTACATCCTATGGAATTCAGGCAGCCATGGTGTAGCAAGAAATAGATTTATTTTAACCAATTCATTTCCATATGAACAAATAAAAGTCTCAGATAGCATAAAAATTAAGTGAATAAATTAAACACTTGTTTGTAAATAAGAAATTATGAGGCATCTTCTAAATTTAGCATTAATGTTACTTAATGTTCATGAGCAAATTTATGCAGAGTTGGTGGTATAAAAATTTGCATCATATATTTTATGTCCACAATATAGCTATGTAGGGATTTGTCTTTGAAAGTGTTCAGAAAACTTAGAATATTAAAACTCTAATGGAGCCCCCTAAATAGAACATTAGCTGTTAAATTGAGAGTTCGGACTTGTTCTCAGTCAATGCTGAGCCTCATACCCTTGGTTCACAGGCCATTCAATGAACCAGCAAGTCAGCTAATTGTCTAAGCAGTATTTATTATTTATAATCAGGATGAGTAGTCAGACGGAAACTAATGAAAAGAATTCTAAAACTAAAGCCTTAATTTTTGTCTTTTTGCTAATAGCCTAATATTTCCTGGAGTGCGACTAGGAGCAGACAGTCAATTCAGTGATTTTCTTGATGGACTAGGACCAGCCCAACTTGTTGGCCGCCAAACCCTCGCCACCCCTGCAATGGGTAAGAGTCATGGTTTGTACAGGAGAAGTGCTGTGATCTTGTGGCCAAGGTCATTTAAAATAACACAGTAGTAGTGCAAGTGAGAAGCTGTGTGTTAGCTAGAGTGTTGCCATTTTCATATGACTAATTTCTAATTTCTAGTACATTTTTCTAACTTGAGACATTATGCAAAATGGATAAAGTTAGTCATGAATTTTTGAATTATCAGAAACCCCTGTGAAGATAGTGTACAATAGATTCAAATGTAGGATAAGGATAGTTGGTGAGACTGTTGAATTATGCAAAAAGAAATACATGAAATTGCCTCCCTACTTCTGAACTTAAAAAAATAATAATTTAGACTCAATTATATTATAAAAGAGAACAGGGAGGTAAAGAAAGACACAGAAAATACTAAAAAAACACTTAAATAAATGTTCCTATATTTGGAGTGGGAAAGAACTTCCAAAGGATCAAACCAAAGCCAGATCATTCAAAAATTTCTACCAGCAAATGCACCCTAAACAAAGTTAAAAGAAGATGACGAATGAAGAGGATTAATACCTGCAATAGACATTTCCCTGAAGGACATGAGTCTTCAGCTTGAAAGGGCCCAGGGAGCCTTCAGCAAAGGCATGAAGACAGGTCACCACCAAAGTGCATCAGCATGGACCATCCCGGCCCTGGAGATCACCAGAAAATCCTACAGGTTGCCTAAGAGGAAAAACAGTTCTATGCAAAACTACCAAAAGTCAGATTCTCACTGGGCTCTTCAGATTCTCAGTGGACTCTTCAAATAATGATCCTCAAAGCCAGAAGACTACTGAGCATTACCTTCAGAAAATTCAAGTAAAAACTGTTTTCCGCACTGGAGTGCACTAGCCAGCCACATCATGGCACTTGACTGGAAGAAATACATGCTCGTACAGGAAGGGTCTCAAACCATGAACTCAAAAAGACTGTGAACTAAAGAATGGGGAAGATGAGATCCAACAATTAAATAAATGCTTCAACACAGAGAAAAATGGTTAGGATACCCAGGATGTTAGCAGAGGAAAATCTAAAGCACAGGGAGCTTTAAAAGCAATCTGTCCAAACTGTAGCATATCAGAGCTCGTAAGGGAAAGTATGTAGACTACCTAATGTGTTTGATTTTATGGGAAGAGGGTAAACAAGCAGAAGAGAGTAAGGTGTTCCTTGGTGATATGTATGTAAAAATGTAAGCAAATGCTTTTTCAAAAGACACTTACTAAGTGTAGGGGAAATGAAGAGCTTTCCAAGAAATGAGAAGTAATCAGAGTGTCCCAGTTCACTCAGCTGTAAACAGTGTTACCTAAACATGGTAATATAAATATTAATATTGGGAGTGTGGGATGACAGAAAGTGGCATGTGTATGGTGGGGGTAGGAAGGAAGTGAGAGAGATCGATATCTAAAACTAAAAAAAAAATAGGGGAATATCATATAAGTACAGTATTTAGAGATGGGGAGCAAATGCCAAACAGTACAAAATTAATCAGGTGAGAATATTGAAAATTTTGAAAGCAGTGACCTTTGGAAGGCAAGAAGTTGAGAAAGAGGATGGGAATCTTTGATACTAGTAATAGGTCTTCATGTAGGTCACTTTGACTCTTTATGTGTAACATAGTATATGACTGAAACATAAAAAAACAAAACAAAAAGCCTTTAGGCACTGAGGTCTACAACAGAATTATAAAATTAATGAAGTCCAGAACCACAAAGCTGGTCAGCTGATTGGCAAAGAAAGAAAATTCATAGATGAGAAAATGAAGATAATTCAACTAGCTAAAAATAACTTAGAAATAATTATATGTAATGTTTTCAGAGACAAAGTATATCAATCAGAAAAAGAGGAACATCTTAGCAAAAATGGGTAAATAACATGAGCAGGCAAGACACAGGAATACACGGTGATAATATTTAGAAATAGTTTAGCCTCCCTAATAATCAAAGAAATGCAAATTATAGCTTTCAGCACCATCAGATTGGCAAAAATCAGGCACAGTGCTAACTCCATGGTTAGGGCTTGAGGGAAGTGGGAAGACAGGAGCTCACACACTAACACAGCCTTCCTGAAGGGCAGTGGCAGTACGCGTGGAATTTCTGGATGTCCATTCCATGAGAGCCAATAATTAAAAAGCTGAGAATTTATGCTCAAAAAATTACTAAACAAGTATACAGAAATTATTTATTAAGCTGTTCACTGAAGTGCTGTTCATAATACAGCGATGTAAGTAACCTGTGTGTCCATCAACAGGGATCTGGTTAAAAAGGTAATGACATGACCATTCGGCAATCCATACAGTCCAATTGAGGATGTATGGTCGTGATAGATAGGAAGGTAGATAGAAAGAAGAAAAGTACTTATGAGATTGCTGGGATATTCACCAAAATATTAGTGGTGGTCTTCTCTAGATAAAGGAAATACAGACAATTACACCTTTTTATTAAGTATTGTATACTAGACGATGTAAGGGATAAATAATCTTATTAGAGTACAAAATCACCTACACACTTCAACATTGTTGTAGTTCAGCAGTTTATAAACTAAGATGGGGCTCCTGTAACATGGACTAGTATCAGAAAGATGAGGAGAAACGTTTCAAACCCTGATTTGGAAGCAGGGAAAGAAAAGTGGGCCAAGGGCTCTATATATTCACTTTTATCGAGATACCATGAAGATTGTAATTTGGAGTTTGTTTCAGGCCTCTGTTTTTTAGTTTTTTTTTTAACTGCTCGTATCTGCAAAGAAGCTGAAACGTGTTTCTTCTCCCCCACTTGCAGGTGATATACAAATCGGTATGGAGGATAAAAAGGGCCAATTGGAAGTTGAAGTCATAAGAGCACGAAGCCTCACGCAGAAACCTGGCTCCAAATCCACACCTGGTAAGGAGGAGTCCTCCTAGTTTGGGCAACAGGATCTTACCCGGGCCAAAAATGCAAACCATTTGCTACCTTTGAATTTCATATGTTCTGTGTGCATCATCTGGTCGACTAAAAAGGCAGCTTTTCTGTGTTCTTTGATTCTTGAAAAATGGGCCTGGATTTTCCTTGCACAATTACTCCATCAGAAAGTGTCAGGAAGAATATTGTCCTCATTGTCATACTCAGGAGTCTAGTTTTGATTGCTTTCCAGCTTGTGTCGGTTATTTTTTTCTGCACATTTACAAATGCAAAAGAAAAAATTTAGTTCTTATCATAAAGATGAAACAATGAGCTTGACGATACAGACCCGAGATCGTAATGCTGGCTGTAACCCAAGTAAGCCGGAGCCCTGTGACGACGTGGCGAATTCGCTTGAAATGGGGAAAATAGCAGCCCTGCCCTGCAAGCATACGGGTTTTAAGGAATAGAGTTTATGGAGCACCGGAAAATCAAATTGGAAACTTTCGATAAGCATCTCTAATTCTCCCAGAAGGCATTCTCTCATAAAATCAATTTAACTCAGAGGATTCATTTCTTACATATTAATATTACCTTTGTGCAGCACCATACGTCAAAGTGTATCTTTTGGAAAATGGGGCCTGTATTGCCAAGAAGAAGACAAGAATTGCACGAAAAACCCTTGATCCTTTGTACCAACAGTCCCTGGTTTTTGACGAAAGTCCCCAGGGTAAAGTTCTTCAGGTGAGTCATCTGTTCACTTTTTACATCATGATATCCACGTTTTCCATATAAACGTTGGAGAGAAAAGGTTCAGTAGGAGAGCGGTAGTGTAACACCCTTGAGTAGGAAAAACACAAATTGTTAATTTACAATACAAATAATGTATTAAGAACATCTGGCGGATCTGCAAGAAAACAAAATTTGTATTTTCTCTGCCCCTTATTTTCTTCTTTCTCTCCATCCTGACCCTCTCCTTTTGCCCTGTTTCCCACCTTTCCCCTCGCCTCCATTGTTGGTTGATGACAGATAGATGTCAGTACGAGCGATACTAATAATAGTTTATTGAGCATTGCTGTGTGCCAGACATGGGACGCAGAGGACCAAGGCAGGAAAAGGGCGGGGTGCAGACGCCAGCAGGAACTCGGGACCAAGGAATGTCGTGTGCACTGTGAGGCGCTGACATACATCACCTCTTTTGATAGTTTCAACCACTGTGTGCAATAAATACCATGTCCCCATTGTAAAGATTATGTCTGAGAATCACACAGGTTAAATATTGGACAAAGTTACTCAGTAAATCGAGCAGGCGAGATGCATCCCCTCCGCCCGTGTACAGAGAGGAAAGAGTTCAGTTGAGAAGCTTGGAGAAGAGGGCCTGGAGTGAGTGTGATGGGATGCCTGTCTGACACCCTCATCTGGGAGCAAACTGACTTTTTAATCACTTGTTCAAATCAAAATTGTCAGGCAAGTCTTCCAAAGGCACCAACTTACAATTATTTTTCAACCTCCCCCTTCACTTCCAAATCCATCATATAAAAGAAATGTTAGTGAGTTCTCTCACTCGTTATCCATACTCCATCGTACAGTCACGCCATCATCCACGGGGTTGGGCTTATTGCCCTCCTAGCATGCACAAAGTTTAATTTTTATATCCCTATGGCCGTCCATGTTGCTTGCTAGATAGTAGTTACCTAAGAAGGTGTTGAATTTATATATAAATAAACTTGTATATTTATTCCTTTAACATAGTTTCTGTACAGAATACCCTCATTCACTAGGGAAACATGACTTGCATTTTATCCAATCTAAGAATTCATGTCAAGTGTCTCTTTGTGAACCTTAAATGTGAGTATCTTCTTATCTTTTCCTCCTCCTTGGTGTTCGTTATATTCATTTCCTCTCCTTCAATAGTTTTTACCACTTTTACCAGATAGTTTCTTTCAACTCTCCCAATGTGAAAGGGAGAGAAATTCAAGTGTTACTGCATTTCTGTGTTTCTGCAGGTGATTGTCTGGGGGGACTATGGCAGGATGGACCATAAATGCTTTATGGGTGTTGCTCAAATCTTGTTGGAAGAACTCGATCTGTCCAGCATGGTGATCGGATGGTACAAATTGTTCCCACCGTCATCCCTGGTGGACCCCACACTCACTCCCCTCACCCGCCGGGCTTCCCAATCATCTCTGGAAAGTTCAACTGGGCCTCCCTGCATTCGCTCATAGCAACTCACACCGGAGTCACTCCAGTAAAACTCTGCCTTTCAGGATCATAACCTGAACCAGATATTTCATGATCAAAAACGTTGTTGGAGACAGACAATCAACTTGTGTTTTGCCCGTAGTAGTTTCTCAATAATATGTCCCAAATGTTGTTTAAAACCCGGCTCCACACGACAGAACAAAGCAATCTGTCAAATCACAGTAAGCGTCAGTGTGCTGGTGAGACTCACTGATGTCCTAACAAATAGGAATAGGGGAAACTTCACACACACACACACCAAAATGAACAAACTGGAAACTCTTGCTCTGTGAAAAGTTGTGTTTTACATGTTTCTGCCCAGATCACAAGCAGTGTCGTCCCCCTGGTGTTTGGTTTGAGAAGTTCTGTTCTGTTGTGTGTCTCGTGTGTTTAGGTGTTGTCGTTGCGTTTGGGTTTCTCGATCTGTGTCTCGCCGGCTTGTTAGTCCCACAAGCTTGGTTGGACTGGGTCATGACGGCCTTGTGATGCTCAGAGACCCTTCCTTTCTTTTTCCAAAAGCACCACAGAAAGGGCTGCAGCAGTCTCTGTAGCATCTCCCCAGGTGTGCAACAGCGCGACGAGATGAGGCCGATCAAGGGTTCCCCAGCCTTCATTTTATAATTCCTCAGAGTCTTATTATGCCTGGAAACCCAGAAAACAAAGAGTTATCTTCCAAACAAATCAATCACTGAATCACTTTTTTTTGAATGAAGAACATATCTGTTTGTGTTCTTAAAAATTAAATTTACGTGTTTGGCATGGAAGACTTTTAAAGACGTCAACCTGCCTCTAATGCTGGGAACCAGAACTGGCTGCATAGTCGTACTTTGGAAACACTCCTTGTGATGCCTTTTTCTTCCTGACGTCCAAAAAAAGTACATGCTTATGTGTACAAACCACACTTCTGACTTCCCAAAATGGTGACTAGAAATGGATTTGAGCCTAAGACACTTCCAGCTATGCCCAGGCTTCTCAGCCATGTCTCGGTGTAGACGCACCCGTCTGCCTGGGAAAGAGCATGGTATGAGCTGTTCAATCTATTCCACTGGAAATTCCAGTTGAAATACTCTGCACTAAACTAATGTTTTTAATCAAGTTTTAGTTTACATTTCTTTGAGATTGATGCAAGCACAAAGCTTGATTTTTTAACGCAAAGTATCTTACTTTTTGAGGGGAAAAAATAAAACAGTCCAATTTGAATTTGCATTTTCTTCATTTGAGTTTTTCTTGGCCTTGAATTTCCCCCTGTGATGTTCTGTATATGTGCTATAAACTGCAGAGTCTGCAGGTGCATTGACAGTGTTTTCCCTTCTTTTATGAGTCCTTCAACTTTTGTGACTACACAAATAGAGCAGCATGACTTGGAACTGTTCAAAGCTGCATGCACATTTTGTAAAAAAGAAACAAAAAAGAAAGAAAAAGAAAAAGACAAGAAACAAAAGGTTATTTAATAATGTATGTTAGCTCCACATAGGCCAGCTTGTCTGTTGCATGTACTTGTACAGTTTGCTTGTTAATTCCTCTACCGAAATAACCAAGAAATCTAAGCCATCCATTTTTGTTATAGACATTTTGCAGGTTTTAGCCAGACTCACTGTGCGAGTCTGGGGTGAAATGTCTATAGATGGACTTTATTTTTTACCCTCTGGAAAATGTGATGTAGTATGGACCAAATTCCTTCTAATAAACATATTGGTGTAGATTCCTACTGTGGGGCTGTAACACTTGTAGACACTGTGGACACACTAGGTTTTAATCCATAGACATCCTGCCTGCACCAAGTGAATTATTTATTATTATTTACCCATGGCAGATTCATTGCCCGTCATTCCACAGGGCACAGATCGACTACAACTCCCCATGCTGAAGCACTGGTGCATTCTACCGGGTTCCATTCTGAGTGGCCAACATTAACCAGTTATAATTGGATACTATCTTTCTATCTTGACCACTTGTCTTAACACCCCCCTGTGCTTTTAAATGAACTTCCAACTCATGTATGTAAACATGTTTAATAAAATTTACTTTTCATGTCAGTCAGTAGCCACCTGTGTTCTGTGTTCTGCCAGACGGCCGCTGTGGCTTCTGTGAGCAATGTGGGGTCCAGGTCGCTGGACGGGGAGGCCGGGACTCGTCGGCTGGGGGCCTTTGCTGTGACTTGTCATTGCACTCTGTATGTCGTAATCTGTGCCAGAGGGCCAGGTGCACATAGTAAAGGTTTTCACTCTGTCAGCCTGTCTAAATGAGCACACCACTATACTTCTGAAAAGTGGCATTATTAAAAACAATAAATCTCAGAAAGAATCAAATGGAAGGTTGTTGTTCTGCTGTGTTTGTGCTAATAAAAGAGATGGTTCTGTTCTCAAATTGCCAAATTATTTCAAGTTATGTGACATATCAAAATACTAATTTCTGCATCTATATTCAGAGCATCTGGTTCTCCTCTCCATCTTTTCCTTCTAAACCCCTGACTGGTTTGCAGAACCATAACTTACTGAATAGGCCAACTTAAAAAAACAAGCAGTACATTCAGTCATTCTTATTAAAATCTTAGGAAATAAATGTTTGTTCGAATATAGTAGTGACTCTCCTAAAGTAACGTGTTAAAAGAGTCATTAATAGCTTCCTTAACATAATTTCATAATTTTTCTTCTTCCCCAGAAGTGTGTTCCTCTATCTCATAAGCATTACCCTCACAGAATACTTGGTAAGTGCTAATTTCATACTGCAGTTCGTATGTGGCAAAATAACTGTCCAGATCTGGTCTCTGCCTCCCAAGAGCCCTTAAAATTGTTACAGACCACACTGGCTTAAACTCCGTGAAGCAAAATAAACACTGAAATCCATGATCAAATCTGAGACAATAAAGCTGTCTGAGACCTCACTACATCAGGTGTTTAAAGCTCTTTAAACAATTGACTTGAGTTTTACCCGATTGAGTCAAGCCGTTGTTTGGTCTACAGACATGAAAGTATCTGTTAGGTGGGGTCAACAGGAGACAAAAGCCACCGATCAGTCCAGTCTGCAGCAGAGTGTCGGAGCCGGGTGTCCGGTGCACGTGCAGAGAGAGAACGCCGAACAGGGAGGGTGGGGAGGGGTGGGGGCAAGTCAGCTGTGGATACGGTAGGCAGCTGAACACGGCTTTCGAATTCTTTGTCTAGACACAGACCGAAGAGCAGAAATCTGTCTTCTCATCAATAAGTCTGTACGCTGAGGTGGAAAAGGCCCACCTGAGGCCTCAGTGAGTCTTCTGGGGACCTTTGAGGCCACAGGAATCCTAAAAACATGGATCACCCATATATGCTTTGAGACATACATTCGATGTTTTTTCTGGAAGCTCTGCAACTACCCTGAAAATTGAACGTACTGTAGCGCAGACCTGTGGTGCCATCTAGTCCCGTTCGGTTAGAAGGTGATACTCTACAGAATTCCACAGATTCCAGCCTTTATGTCCTCTTCCATATGGATTCATACGAGGGTGTATCTCTAAGATTTGTCCTCTAAGTGATTTTGGATTTCTGCGTGACAGCCCTAATGGCCACAGATCTTCTGATGATTAGCAAGCATTTATTCTTTTGATTATTGTCTCCTGTTCAGGTGAATTTATTACTGTCACTGAAACCATGTACCTACTAATAAACTATTTGATATTAAAAAATATAATAAGTCTAAAACATTGGCATTTCAGGGCCTACGGTGCTAGAGAGAGAGTGACCCAGGAAGAGCGATTTTGCTCAGTCCGTACGGTTTCTTGCTGATGAGAGAGAGAATCTGATTGTGCTTTAAGGGCTTTGTTGGGAACTAGATATTAATTTATTGGGATATAAAAATTTTAAAAAATTAAAACCGACCCTGTCCTAAAGACGCTCCCTGTCTATTAAGAGAGATCATTATATAAAGAAATAATTCCACTAACATGTATTTGAAAGGGCTGTGGGATCACATCTGATTCTCCCAACAGCCCCACGAGTTACTTACTCCTCCGACTCCTCTTTGGCACAAAGGACCTGCAGTTTGGAGGAGGAGCCGCAGGCCAAAGGTGAGGTGCTGGTGAGCAGCGGGGCCGCGCCCGGAGCCCGCCCACCGAACAGCCTGCTCCCCCACTTCGCGGACGCTGGGCCTTCAGGAAGGAAGATGCCGCCAGGCGGGGCAGCTCCCTGAACCTGAGGCTGCCCCCGGCTGCTCTGAGCCCTTCCCCGCGAGCATCTGTGCCACACACCGCCTGCTGCAAACGCTTTACCGCATGGCGGGTTGGCTACATTTTAGGACAATTTTACCATAAAAGATTTTTTTTTAACTGGTTAACAGTTTGGTGTCGCGTCTCCATGGATCCAGTCCTCCCGCCGTTACATTATATAAACCTCAGGCCTCCTAATGTTCTATACAGGGGCTCAGGGTCTGGAACCACGTTTCCCACGGATGCGCAGCGCCTGTCGGTGGACAACGTGACACATGCGGGAGCAAACAGCACAGGAGCTGTCACCACACGGTGCAGAGCCCAGCTACAAACAAACACGCATCTCAGCACCTGGAAACTGATGCAGCTCTTGACGAAGGAAGAAATTTTAGTAAAAAAAGGAAAAGTGTGATGTGGGATGAGGAGATGAATCAACAGGCAAAGTAAAAGGTGTATAATACTATGATATGATATGATACTTAGAAGACAAGTGCTTAGGTACAACCCACAAAATAAAATTAGTTATATGCACAGTATCGTCATGAATCTACAGTATACATTTTGAATGTTTTTAAGTATTTTATATTTCACAAGAAAGTTTTTTATTTTGTTACTCGTTTTTCGTGTTTATGCCCTTTTTAATGAATGTCCCTCTTTTATTTTTCATGATTTTATCTTATACAGCAAAATTGCCTAGGGCCAATTAGTTATGCAGCAAAAATGCTTGCAACGAAGATGTTTACAGAATAAAATACCAGGCCTGGTCCCGGCCCTCAGGGCCTCCCTCTGCAGGTCGCCTAAGCGCTCTGCCATTACACGGGGGAGGGGAAGGGAAGGGGGGCAGGTGAACGCTTCTCCATCCGCTGAACCCTCTTTCTAAGGCTTTTCCCCTACAACCTCTGTCTCCTCCTCTGGAAGCACTCACCATTAGCATTTTCACACTTCATGAACACATCAGATGCAGCTGTCGGGATAAGTATGAATAAAGAAGCCAGAACAAAGTCTTTAGCTGAGCCCCAGGCTTATCCTTTGGTTCCAGGGTAGCACTGTCTTTTGAGTAGCCCTCCCTGACTCCTTACGCCAGTCCCAAGCCTGCAGATTAACATCTGCATCCCGCGGTGGAATTAATCAGCCTTGAATCTCAGCCCCATAGAGTTTTTGGTCCCCCCAGAGGCAGTCCATATGCCTTCTGTTATTTGCTGTCAAAACAGAGTCATGGCTCTGTAGTTACATGCACAGACCCCTCCGCGAGGGGCTGCGAAGCCATCGGTCCCTTGCACAGCCTCACCCCACATCCTGCTACTTCCAGCCTGAGCCCCTCAGGTACCTCTCAAGGGGGCGCAACATATGCAGCTCTTCACATCCCCTGAACGTCAACCAATCATGGCCATCCCATAATGACATCTTTATTAGTCGTTCTCATGCAGATTCCTCTCAACTCATAGCTTGGGACAAAGTATTAGGACGTTTTTGTTTTTGTTTTCAAACCACCACGAAGATAGGCTCTGTGCTCAGTGTATCCAGTTACTGTTTGAACTCTTTCCTTTATCCCATTAGCATCCAAAGTGGGAAATGTTACTCCTGACATACATGCCCTGGGTGTACGTGTGATGATCTCTGAAAACGTGGGTAAGGTCTACACGACTAACAGAGCTCTTTGTGTACACACACCTTCCAGTCTGTCCCTCCCCCCCTTCATCACCGACCTCAAGGCTGTCTTCTCCAGCTTGCCTCCAATACCTCACCTACGGCTCATTCGTGACCCCAGCGTAAGGTTGCCAGATCAAGTGCAGGATTCCCAGTTAACTCTGAATTTCATATAAGCAATGAATAATTAAAACTAAATATAATTTTCATATTCATTTTAGTTTATCAGAAATTCAAGTTTAACTTGACATGCTATATTTGTATTTGCTCAATCTGACAACCTTACCCCTATTGTCATGTGGTTTCTGTCCCCATCACTGAAATGCTCTCCTGGCTGCTATCTAACAACAAAGTCCAGCAGCCCTTCTGAGCATAGTTACTGGCCCTCTCCGTAGCTTCTATTGAAGAGCTCCTTCTTAGAAGTTTTTCTCTACTCAGCACCCTGCTTCTCCAACTCGAAGGCTAGACCTTGTTCCCAGTTTTCACTCCTTCTGAAAGGTTTATACACTTGACGCTGTGGCCGTGTTTCTCTGCAGGTCGCACGGCGGAGTAGGCTGAGAACGTACACCACTGTCCCGTTGGCTGTAGGCTCAGCCAGATGGCATGCCTCTGTGTTAGGAAGGCCGCCGGGACTCTGACTCCCTCTCTCCTGATTCTGACATCCTCTCTGTTGGCTTCATGCTCAGATGAGCACCTCCAAGTCACAGCAAATAGCTGCAGGCAGTCTTAGACTCAGGACTCATAGTGCAGCGACTCAGAGGAAAATCACACATCTTCCCACCACCCCGGCAAAATCCTAGGCCTGACCTTTTGCACCCTCTTGGGTCAGCACCTTACGTTGAATCAGTATCTCTGGGCAGGGAGATGAACTATACCAATGGGCAGACTTGAATCAAGAGTCCAGCCCTGGACCAAAAGGGTTCAGACAGTTCCACCCAACCCACATAATGCCCCCAGGCAAACCTGGATGCTATTAGAAGAAGGGGTAGCCTATAAGCCATCTTAAATGAGACTGTGTATGTTAAAGTCTTGTGAAAATCATTAAATAAAATACTACTGTTTCTTCTTATGAGGATTGCTGATACGGGCAGTGCCACAGGGTGGTATTCTATGTGCTTGGTGCCAAGTGCCTCTTCTCGTTCGGAGGAGAAGGCCCACCCATTGAGGGCTGTTCCACGTACGGGGGGCATCCAGATTAAAGGAAACCTGTTAGGTCGGTCAGCACTATCTTTCCCTGACAGGTCAGTGCTGGTAAAGTTACGTCTACTTTCTCTTCTTTCAAACCCTGGGAAAGTGGGACAAGCACTCTCACACCCAGTCACGCCCAGACGTCCCCGATGGCCTTCATCTCTCCCTGTCTCCCAAATCATAAGGAGCCACTCATCTGGTACCTTAAGTATTCTAAGATGCCAGGTTAGCATTTTGAGGGATATGCCCCTATAATAATATCAGTAGCAATCGACCTATATTGATTTATAGAGGAAC